GTTATCGTTATCATTATCATTACTATTATTATTATTGATTTTATTACTGTTCTCTTTGAAGAAAAGTTTTTTAAATAGGATTAGCATATGGTGACATCCTTGCGTCTTTCACTCTCTATCAGATCCTTTCATTGATTCGTACCTATTTATCCACCTATGTTTTGTTCCTGTTCTTGTCGTCATATCATTTCTTGTCGCACATTCTGATATGTTATATTGTTTCACCACTAATTCAAGCCGTTGCCATTATCATTGTTGTTACTGATTTATAAACTATATTTAATTTAATCTGCAGTGTTTTTTGACGTCGAAATACAGTTAACTGCCTCAGTGTATTCAGTGCATACCAAAGCGAAGCAAAACCATACCAAGGGATCATCACTCAATGCACATTTGTCCAACACAATATAGGTGGCAGTGGCGTAGATGTGATTTTAAACCTCGGAATACTGGAATCGGCTTCAGGAATGGCCTGAGATCTACACGTTCGTGAGCGCGTTTGACATGTCGCATGTATTTCTTGGGCTGCTCAAAACAAAGGGCCGCGTCGCCGTCGAGATTTCCCAGTTAAAGCAAGCCACCCGCCCTCACAATTGCGCCCCACCCCGACCAGCTCTCGCTGTGCTGTCCTCGACGAATACCTCACTACTATCCTCTCACTCTCTTCCTATCTGCTCAACTTTCTAGTTGTCATCCCGTCAGGCACCCTCTCCAGTTGCCGCACTCTTTCTCTCGCAATTTCTGTCATGCCTCCTTGTAGTCAACTGCAATTTTCGTGCTGCGGAAGAACGCTACACAAAAAGAAGCAGGGCGAACAGGCGCTGGGTTACGTGCACATCGAATGAATTCGTGTGCACACGGAGGGCGTGTCTGCGCGTATACGGTGTGTATGCGTGTGCATGTGAATGAGTGTGTTTACGTGAGGAAGTGTATGAAGAAAATCTGTGTTGATTTTGAGGTTTGTTGCGGATGTATGTTGCGATGATAAAGAGTTGACTAACGAAGATGGATGGGTCAGTCGACTTGATCCCGACTGAGTTGTGGTAAGCAGTGTCGTCGTGAAGACAGAGAGGCCTGCCGATCCGTACCATTCTATACTGGTGGACAGTGTTGCTGCTGATGGTACACCTGTGATGTTATGAAGGAACGGTTCCTGGTGCATAGTGTAGAATGTCATATCATGTTGTGCAGTGGAGATCATTCAGGTCACGTGAATAACCTTCAGATCTGTCCCTACTCTAGCGAACTGTTTTCTCGTGTTTGTGCATCATCTCTAATGAGAGTTTTTTGTAAGAGGAAAGATCGTATACGATATACGATCTGCTTCTTCAGAGGTGCCCTAAATGCGAAGATTTGCGCGAGCAGGCTTTCTTCATCACCTTATCATAACTTGAAAATGGATAAGAAGGACGGAGAGTGAAGAGATGAGCTGAAGGAGGAAATTAGCATGGATGCATCCCTGCTTTCGTTCAGTGGTCGACAGGGTATACTCATTTGAGGACTGGAACTGTCACTTTCTTGCTGGATGTGACCCATTATTGTCGCTACAAGTAACTGCGTTCTCAACATATACATTGTTAGACCCAGAGTCTAACATTTATTCATGTATTCAACGAGTATCTTTTCTTCCCTTACAGTTCTTGCCTGAGGCATTTCTTGGCATAGTGTCTGGGACACGGGGAGAGGGATGCAGTGTTGGAATGGTGTAAGATAAGTGAGGAAATATTGATTATTTGCAAGGTATTTATAGCCTGTGCTGTCTTTCCCGTGTCTTCTACTGGATGCTTGATCTACTTCAACACAACGCCAGACAAGACGGTTTTGCCGATGGCGGTACTATCCATTCCTATATATTCTTCATTTGGTGTACTTTCAGATTGTTTTGTTGTTTTCAGAATAACATGCTTCACGTGGAATTACTTTTATATTTTACGAGCTTTTACATGTTCTTCATATGCATTTCATTTATAATGTGAAATTTTCCTGCTAATCGATAAATCTTAAAAAGTTTTCCATTTTCCGTAAGTAGAACTATGTTGGAAGGTTCTTTGCGAGATACTCGCATGTTACACTTGGTCTGTACACGTATTTTCCCTATATTTAACAAGACTAAGTAATGGTTGGATATTTGTAATAGATGCTTGAATGTATAGCTGCATCATAATATACAGAACATTGTATAAAAAGGAGCGTAATGTCTATATTTATTTCTCGCGGATATGTCCTAACTGCGATCGCTGTAACACAGAATATTATTGTCTTTAGGGTAGATAGAGATTATTCGTTGCGTTCGTCATTCTGGCTGCATAACTGTGGCATAATGGCACAGCAAACTCCTTACATTGGGAGCAGAATAAGTTTGATTTCCAAATTGGATATACGCTACGAAGGAATATTATACACCGTCGATACCAATGAATCAACTATTGCTCTTGCCAAAGGTTACTGCACTGAATTTCCTACTCAGTATGTGATGATATGTTCGGTCAACTCTTCATAACTAAAGCTTATACTGTAACATCAAATCATATGTTAGCTTATCCATCTTATGTGTCGTTGATATTTAGTTCTGTTTATTTTATATTAGCTAAAAACTGTGGAGTTACAAACTAGTTCGAGGACTTGACGCACGTCCGAAGAAGTCGGATGGCGCAGAGTGCTATCACGAGTTATCATTCTCTCTACTGGCTAATTAAACTGTGATTTATGTTTGCTCGTGCAATGACTTGGTTAATGTTCATGGTATAATCCAACATTACATCATCACATCAAGCGTTTGCCATTTCCCTTAAGGGATCTGTCAGTTGTTATTTTAGACTTTAGATTGTTAGACTAGCTGAAATTGCTCTACTCTTTTAACGTGATATATTTTCAGTGCGTTCATTTGGGACGGAAGACAGACCAACACCAAATCCAGTCGCTGCTCGTGATGACATATATGAATATATTATTTTCAAAGCAACAGATATCAAAGATCTGATTGTATGTGAGACACCAAAACCGGTGCCTCAACTTGCCAGCGGTTTGGCATATGATCCTGCAATATTATCGATTTCTTCCGGACGTACCATCCCAATGCATCCCTCAGTTCCAAGCGTACCTATAGGCAGCAACATTATTAGCGCCGGATGTGAGTTCATCAGTTTGATCGGCTTAGTTGGACTTGAATTTAGAAATCCCAAGATCAGTATTTTTCTCACCAATTTTTGTATGAAGTTCATGAGAAAATGATCCTCCATAAATTAGAAGAGAAATAGAAAAATAGCAAGTTAACCTAAATCAGAATTGGATTATTAAGGAAATATATCACTATGCTAAGTTCTGATATACTACTTGTTTGCAACATCTAATTCCGATGCATTTGAAGCGTCGCGTTCTGGCACACCGAATCGCATTTCACCAGCAGAAGATCCAGCACATTCGCGTGCTCCTGGTGCTGGACGCAATCAACGTATAGGTTCACTGCCAAATCAGATGCAATCTGTGACAGGTACTAAACGTGGTGGTTTCCAGCAACAAATACATCAAGGAGCACTTAATACCGGACGTCAGTTTACACATGATTAAGGCTTTGCTGGTGTAGTAGAGAGGAAGCTTGAGCATACTCCTGATTGTTTCTCTTTTTTCGTTTCATGGGACGGTTAATTGTATAAAGTTTTCCCAACTTTGCTGTTCCAATTTCCAACTAATTTCATTTTTAATTAGAAAGGAATTGTAGTAGTCAGAACTTAACATAGCTCATTATATTTATGTTAGACTACGCTCAAAGCCTAAATCATATTTTGCTGCTAATTTCTTCGGAACATTGAGATGTCACAAAAAGGCTGAACGAAAATGTATTTACTTTTTCAGGCTGATTAAAGCATGCGGATTGCTTTTTTTCTTTGTTCGCGCCTAACTATATTTTTATCATTTTTACTATGTAATCAATATGTCGTCCAAATGTGTCTTTTTTATTCCACTGTGAGTAATGTTGCTGATAACAAAGTGGACAGCTAATAAGCTGTTTCAAGGAACTTTGGTAATTATTTTCAAAACTGTAAGATATTTCGAATTTTAGGACAACAGAATTATCCAAATGTTGGTGGGATTTATCAGGGGAGCTATGGACGGGGTGGACAGCAGAATAATTATCGTGAGAGTCGCGGAGGTTTTTTCGGTCGTGGTAGTGTGAATTATCAGCGTGGAGGAGGAGGTCATCGTGGTGGAATAAGTGGCAAGCCACAGTCGAAAGAGAAGCTGAAGTTTGAAAGTGACTACGATTTTGAGAAGGCTAATGAACAATTCCAGGAAACCCTGAATCATATCAATCTCGATCTTAAGAAAACAAAGCTGGAAGGTTAGTTGTTGTGCAATAAGGACTAGGGATTGCATAGTGCTTTCTTCATGATATTGACATCCGATTAATGGCAATTTTTTGTTCAAGTTTATGCAGCTTTTTGGAAACTGTATCATTATTTCGGCAATGATCAAATTCATTTATCTGAGGCGGAGATAGCGATTTATGGGCATAGTCCTTTTTACTTATTGCTTGCTTTCCCTTATGTTATTATTTACTGTGATACTTAGATAAAATTAAATTATGTCATAGCAAATGAAGCTGCATTATCGTTTCCAGTAATGCTAGCACTGTTGACGGAATGACTTAGCTATTCCGGTGTGGCATTTTTTTTAAGCCTTTAGTTCTGTTGTAAATCGAAGCCAACCCATTTCGTAATTAATAGACCATGTGCTGTTTGTGGTTTATTCCTATACTTCGTTCATTATTCAAGGTCTTTTATTCATTCTGATTGATATAGTTAGTATTTATTATAAAAAATAAATTTTAAAGGACAGTTTTTTTTTAAATATGGATAATAGTGATGTAGAGAGGAAGATCCACAGTCATTTGTTTTTCTTTTTTTGAATGTTTTTTAGATGGAAATAAAAAGTCGATAACAGGGTCTGATGCTGGTTCAGATGTTGTTGAAGAGGAGATCGCTGAAAATGGCCAGGAAGAACAGGAAAAGCGGTACTATGATAAAAGCTCATCATTTTTCGATCGAATTTCATGTGAAGCGCTTGAAAAACAGGAAGGGTATGTTCATGGCACGTTTTTTAATTTTTGTCATTCTTATCGTTATAAAAGAGCTATGAGTTCCTGATTATGATTTTTTGACTATTATTATAGAAAACCACGTACGGACTGGAGAAAAGAGCGTGAGACCAATCAGGAGACATTTGGGCACTCTGCGGTGCGTTCACTGACATACCGCCGCCCTCGAGGATTCATGAGTGGACGTGGCGGCCGTGGCGGACACATGAGTAATGGTTATCGCTACAATTCTGGTAAATTTTGATCTTACAAAACACTGCCATTATTCCACTTTTGCGTGCTATATATTAGACTGTTAGTACTTATCGTTAATTTAATATATATGGCTTCATTTCTTTCTCAGCAGTGCTCTTATCCTATTTATCTTACTATAGCTCACGAAACTAATAAATATGGTTGTTTTAAGGGCATCCTCTCGCTTATTAAACTTTATCCAATTCGTTCATTTTTCTCAGTATTCATGATTAAGTTTCCTTGCTTTTTTTTCACGTTTTAGGGTGGCTGGAAGATTTCTTCGTGAATAAAAAAACCATATGAATACCAGGACAAAGTGAAATCCGTAAAAGTCGTTTTCGGTTATGATTTACTAACTGACTTGGAATTCGATTTTTCCGATGCATGTATACTTTTTTTAGGCTACAACTACGGAAATCAGCAACGGAGCAGTTATGGCAATTTCCATAATAATTACAATCGTCGGAACAATTATCGTAATAGCACCAGTTATTCTGGTCAGTAAATAGATTAGGGCTGAAATAAGCGAATGCGTCATTTTCTTTATGTTATTACAGACTGACTATTGTTTTTCTTCATTTCTTAGTTATGGTTATAATTTGTTATAATCTCAAAAAATTTTCCCGAAAGTTTCTTTTCTCCTTATCATTTTCCATGTTTCGTTTCAACGTGGCAAAATTCTTGCAATTTCCTATCTGCGTTTGGCTGAATGAAAGAGAAAGATAGAAAATATAGTTTTTTTCTCTCGCAAAAGTTATATTGTCATCTAGGAATTGGCTAAATTTAAAGGGGTAGTGGATATTATGGGCAGGATAATTTGAACTAGGTTGAAAATTGACAAATAAATCTTCAGCTTAATGCAAGTGATATTCATATAGTTAAATATTATTGGTCTAAAAGATTTATGGTTTTAACCTTTATTTGTCACAGTAGAGCGCTTGTAATGGTAAAAGGTTGTTAATCTGATAAGGGGTAAATTCATCAAGCTTTTTTTGATAATTTTGAAATTTTGATAGTGACAGACAGTCCCCTACGAGAATAGTACTGAGATCCACCTTGTCGATGCAAATCTATGCCCTTTTGCTTGCATGTACGTATTTCATTCATACACGTGCGATTTGTGTATGGTATTATTTGTGAGAATATTTCTGAAAGCGATCAGTATGTTTGTTTTATGTTTGTTTTCTCAAAGTTTTTTATTTGGTGCATGATTTTATGAATTTATTTTTTGCAAAACAAATGACCAGTAATTTTTCTTTACAATTTTTTGGACAATATTGCGCTTCTCGTTTTGATACGTTGTTATCAATCTCGAATTCGGTCATTTTGCTGTAAGAGGTGTGGCTATTTCCCTCAGATCTGCGTTTATAACGGTTCATTGTAAATTGTTGCCACTTCAACTTCCCCACAATCACGTCCATGTGAATACATCACTCGCTTTATGCGTTCAGTGGCACGCATATATTAAGAGAGGTTTTATCGATATGATATAATTTACTGTAGCTAATAAAAATGTTGTTTATATACTGCTTTGAAATATATGGGAATCACAGACGAAGAGTTTTTGTGGTTTTGATGTTATATTTCGTCCGTTATGCATCAGATGACAGCACTGAAATAATGATCAGTTTTCGCAAGTATTACTCCATATAGTTGTGTTAATAAGGAAGTGAAATGTGCATCTTTTGATTTAATTTCATACATCTTCAAAATATTCGAGCCCTGAATAACTGAGCAGCCGATTAGTTTCGATAGACGGTTATTGCGAAAGACTGTCTAGCAATAACGTATGCTCTTATGTCTTGTAATTGAAAAAGATGTAGCAAAAGATTATGCAATGTTCAGTGCAATTCTTTTTTAAAACAGTGACACTATTAAATTAAATGTGGGCAGCGAAGATAGATGACGTGGAAAATTGTGCGGACTTTAATGATGACGTGATGGGAGGAGAGCTTTTGATGTTGATAATCTGAAAAAAAAATCTGAGAAAAGTTTCAGTCGACATGATAGCTTTTTGATATGAAATAGTGATACGGGGGGCGGGGATGGATTCGTCGACGAATTATTCTCTTCGCTACGGGAATTCTCTGAAATCATTGGAATAAATCAGTGCAAGAAGAGATGTGCCGATGAAAGCAGGAGATGAAATCACTCTTCGAGCTTCGTTCATTTCCTCATTCCATCTCCTTCTTTCCTCATGCTCTCCGAGACCTGAAGGCATTGTCCTTCAGCAGCAACGTGCCTATTGACGATTGTTTCAGTTCATTTCGTTTTGATCTTCATCATAAAATCGCTCCTCAATGTGCAAACTAATACCAATCTTTTCATTCTAGCTCAAAACTGAACATTTAAATAAGAAAGCAATTCTGATTCAATGACCAAAAATCGATTTCTAAACTTCAACTAAGGCTTTGCAAGCAGCATTTATCGTTGTCGATATGGATAAACTGTCAGTGGTGATCGAATCGCTGACAAAACCACGATATGAGGAGGATTCCATTGATCGGTTAAACTACCACACTACTACATTTATACTGCTCGTTGCCGCATTCACGATAATAGCCAAGGTTTCTTAGTTAACTATGTCGATTCCGCACTTCAATTGCGTCCTCTTAACTACCATTATCCAAATGTCTGAAATCTTTCAAAAGGACCTACAATGCTCTGCACACATTCATCCA